CTCCCGCCGGCGCAGCTCCCGATGGAACCGGCATAACATCACACCGGGACCGGCAACAGCACGCCGCCTTCTGGGACGTCCAGTCCTCCCCCAGCCAGGTAAGACATCCCCCGAAAATAAGACCTAGTGTCTTATTTTCGGGGAAACACGGTATATGTCCTCCAGTGACACTTAGGAGAACTATGGGGAAAAACACTCACCCCCCATACTTCTCCTTTAAGGACCAGTCTTGAAGCTGACTTGAACATAAACAGGACAGTCTTTATTCCTGCTCAACATAAATGAAACAGAAGAGTTCATGCACTTCTTATTAGGGATGCGCCGATACCAGTATTTCGGTATCGAGTAGGAGTACCAATATTTTTTCCGCTACTCGCCGATACCAAATACCTATACCGAAAGTCCCATTAAGGAAGCCAGGCGGCGTGTAAAGACTCACCACCCGGCTTCCCGGTTAGCCGTCTCCATGCTTCTCGTCACTAGCTTTCTGGCCAATCAGGAAGCCAGGCGACGTGTAATGACGCAGCGCCCGGCTTCCTGATTGGCCAGGAAGCCGGCTCCATGCTCCCTCGTCACCTCATAATGAGGGAGCATGAAGCCGGCTTCCCAGCCAATCAGAAAGTTGGCGCCGCGTCATTACACAGCGCCCAGCTTCCTGATTGGCCAGCCTCCCGACCAATCAGGAAGCCAGGCAGCCTGATTGGCTATGGAGCTGGCATCCCCACTGCTTGTGTAACCTAACTTGGTGAGGCAAAAGCTGTCGCAGCCTCTACTCTGTGTTAGAGGCGTGAGCTCTGTGGATGGCTTGGACCAATGGCAAAGCGCCATTGCTCCAAGCTGTCCAATCAAAAAAAAAAAGAAAAAGAGTGAGGACATCGATCTCAACGCCTCAGCAGTGACGAGCAAGTGAGGGACAGGGAGGCTCGTCCCTTCCTCCTCCCCACACAGCTTGGTTACCGAGCTGGGGGCGGGGCTTCGGCAGGACAGGGTGGAGAAGAGAACCTGTAATCCTCCAATTGCTATCACACAGGGGATTGTTTTCTTCTGTGTGATAGCAATAAAGTTAGGTGGAAAAAAAAATTGAATTGATAAATAAAAAAAATTGAAATAAATTAAAGATTTTAAAAAATAATATGAAATAATTAAATACAAAAATTAAAAAGTGATTAAAAAGTCAAAAATAATAAGAAACAATTTATTAAAAAATAAGAAAATAATGATAAAAAATAAACAATACGATAAAAAAAATATAAAAAAAAGTAAATAAGATAAATAAAAAATAAATTGATGAAAAAATAATTAAATAAAAATTAAAAAAATAAGAAATCATTAAATAAAAAGTGATACAAAAGTAAAAAAAAAACCAAAGAAACAGTAAAAAAAAATGAAACTAACCCCGCCGCCCTGCCATCTGGTTGCCATTCTCCATTGATG